ATCTATTATATCTTGTCTCTAGAATTAACAATTTGCCTAGGTTAATGAATTAACGACATCAATAGAACCATGTCAATAATAAACTGCATGTTATTTGGTTTATGAAATCAGATTTCACGTCCATGGAATGCAGTTATTATGAAACTAATGCTTTTGTAATAATAGCTATATGAATAATGCAAATATTAATCCGCAGGAATCGTTGCATGTTGATGATATTAGAAAGAACAAATGAATGTGAACAGAATAACAGAGCTAAATTAAGTTATTATTTCATTAACTTCATAATTATTGCTGTGAAAGCTTTGTGTTGATATTTGCCACACATCTATAGCACATGTAAGTATGATATATGCTTGTTTCATTTTATGTCAAGGTGTGAGTCCTAAATTGTTGATAATAGTAGCGCTTAAAAATCTTTTTGTATTTATTTATTAAGGTTGTATTTTACAGTTGGCCATTATCATTAAATAATTCCCTTTAATATAAGCAATGGTGAATTATGTGGCATTAGCTTCATACATCTCTTGTAAGGTCACAGATAAAAGTAATACAGGAGGAGTGTTGTAAAGGTAATATAATCAAGGTGGGTGAATATCTTAGTCATTAGTTCGTGATAACCTTTCAGTACCATCATCAATTTACATAAAGCAATATCACATAACATTCTAGTAGTATGTAGCCGAATACACAAAACTCGTTTATACACATTATACAGTGGATAAAGGTACACTAGCACAGTGGGTTCGACTTGAACAGACCAATCGGATAATACATACATGTAGTCCCATATTTTGCTTTTTTATTATTGATATGTAGTTTTAGAGGGTTTTATCTACTAAGATAAAGATTATGCGGAATATTTAACTGTATTGTAACTGTGTGTAACATTCAAAATAATCAGACCCACAAAGAAGATTATATTTGGAATAGTTACGTAAAGATGTATTAAAATTTGCGGGTCTTCAAAGGTTAATGCGTAAATATGCCAATCGATCGCTGATATATAAAGAGAAGTCTCCGTGTGTCATTTGCATTTTTCGGACAGCTTAATCCACACTAAAATATACTCAAATAGATTATTTATCATTGAATTTTAAAACAAATACGTCCTTCAAATGGCGTTCAGGGATGCTTTAGTAGTTTTCTGGGAGTTTAAGGTAAGCTCATGAAGAATTCATGTCTCAAAGCAGGCCAGTGCTTCGATTTTCGAAAATAAGATGAGTCTAATGTTTCACATTTTTTAATTTATTTTATCATTTATAACATAGTGTTTGTTTAATACCATCATTAATATGAACGCGAATTGCTGTTTTCTGTCTCTGGCATACTCATACCCTATTATTTATTGGATGTCTTCCTTATAATTAAAGTCTGAAAGCATGGAACTATACATGATTTCAATGTGTTTGTTTTATTAGCGCGGAAAGAGGCGGGTATGGCATCACGCTCACTTTATTGGTTGTTTCCGAGCAGAACAGTAGGGCGTTAAACCATATTTCATTTCAGTTCATTTATTGATTGGTTTTGTATCCCTGATGTTCGATGAGTTTAGAAGAATATCAAATCTTAAAATGTTATATGATTTTAAAATATAAAAAAACAAAATTATAGTTAATGTTAGATATACAGTAAACATGATAATATGTGTAAATTTTCGGTTCGTTTTTAGGAATATTTAAGCCATCCCCTCAGCATTTGTTTTAGTAGGATCAAGTTATATTTATAAATATAATATAACACCGTCGACCATAAAGAACAATCAACTGGCATATATGTATCCATGTGAAAACAAAATTAGACCAATGCCATAAAATGTGTGTTTACCCTTAACTTTATTAACGATTAAAGAGGGCGAATTGGAGAGAAATAAGTCACGGTTCAGTTGAAAAAAGTAGTTTTTATGGAAGCTGTGCCAAATCAGCATGGTGTAAGACAAGGAGTATTAGTAGAACTGTAACGATTCTTGTTATCTACCAAAGTCTTTGATGTAGCTATAACTAATACGCTTTGCTAATTGCTAGTAATAAAGAAGAAAGTAGGGAGGTTATAGATCACAACGTAGACTAAATTTTACTATCGGCTTAAGTTAGATTGTACCTATATTTCGTCTATGTTCACTGAAGCACTTTAAAACAAATATATTGTAGATTTATGTTAACTATTTTCATGTTTTTTAATAGTTTTTCTGTTCGAATTATACTAGTTTCTGTTTCCATTAGTAAATGATTACAATAGCATGATGAAATGTTATTACACATCGGCTGCTTTCTCTTTTAATTTCGATATCCCGCCGTTGCCTTATTTCAAAGCATTTGATTTATCGACACACATCTATATTATTTAAATAACTTAGAGGCATTCCATTTTCAAAAACCTTTTCCACTGCTAAAATATTCTTATATAAGAAATAATAATCGAGTAATTGCAGTTGATAAAATTTAAATAAAATTGTGACTAATTAACGGGGCTTGTATTGGCTGAAGTTGTAATTGTATTGGTTGAATTTGTATTTGTTGAAATTGTGTTTGTACTATGGAATCCATATGATGATTAACCTTATTTTGGGTTTCTTTTTATTTATTCCTGTCTACGGTTGTATTTAAATACCTACATGTTTTGTTTTATCGATTTTTTTTTATATTATAATTTGATTTGGTTTGTGGAGTGTTAGCCTTACCTATATAGATATAACCTGTGTTGTAATAAAACTTATATGGTGTTCCAGTTTCAACACAATGCCAAACATTTAGTAAATAAACCTAATTCAGCCTAATCTTCCACATTCATAATCAGATCAAACAAATCCAATATTATATTTTAGAGGCTTAACAACTTAAATATCAAATAATTTTAGGAAGATACCAAGACTTTCTGAGTAAGATATGTTACCGCTATTGGCCTGCATGTGAGCAAGGGCGGTCGAATGATACAGGTGTTTGTTTTTTTAATGATGATTCAGAGCCCAATCAACGTGGTCTAATGAGCTAAAACCATGCTCTGAGAAATAAAAAGACGTGCTCTCAGAAAGTTTTAATTTGTGCAAAAAGGCGCACCAGATATCGCTGAAGAGGGACCATCATTGTACCAAGTACACATTTTTTTGAAAATTTGAATCTGTGTAATGATTCGTTATTTTATCGCCATACGGCGCGGCGCGTCAAGTGGGTGACCTATCTCTCCCTCACTCCAATATTTCGAATTTTTCTTGATTCAACTAAATTTATTGTTTCTGGATATACGATAGAGATTCTACTCTTGACGGAGAAATTAAACTTTTTCCCCTAGATCATTCTTACATCTTGGCCTTATTATTTTTCAGTTGCATCAGTCATCGGTATGAATTGATATATAGGTATGGGCCATAGGTTCCCGCACAGTCTAGTTTGACGTTTGAGACCATGTATTTTTCAAACATTTCCAAAGCCCACCTGGACCCCATGGAATTAACGTTGGCTGAAAAGGATCCAACGAAATGTTTGGGGGTTTTATTTGTTAAACCCGTAGGGGTGCATAGTGCAATCTAAATTAAATGGGGTTTAACGCGTTTACTGTCCTGGATAAACGGGGCTAATAATGACCTGCATATGTAATACAGTGTACTGTGAGGGACATATTGCCAGGACAGAGGTCATCCCACGGAACTTTCTCGGCCGATACTGGATTAGAGCAATGGACCTCCTGGTTAGTACACCAAATGCCATACTCCCTTACCCGTGGTTTACATAAACCATGTAGTGCAAGTACATTGTGTTTGAGGCCAGCACTGGTTTACAAAATGTAAGGAGGGGACTACTAATTAAGTAGCTGTTTTTCCATAAGTATGTGTATAGTTTATTACTTAATTTCAATGATTCTTTATAAAATACAATTTAAAAGCTGACATAAACTATTAAGGATTACCTGTAAAGAGGTGGAAAATGACTCAATGAAATACAGGAAGTCAGATAAACCATTGCCCGAAAAACATTCATTATCTCGAAATGCAACCTAAAAATAAAGTTAATGGGCTAATTTCTCTTGACCAAAATCCACGCATAAAGGAACTCATTTAAACGGCTTATATACCATGGAATTAAAGCATATGTTTTAGTTTATTTCAATTAGAAAGCATGTTTTTTAATGTGTCGGTGTATAATAGATGTACATTTATCGTTAACAATTTCCATGGCGTAGAGGAATTTTATTGATACATATAAGGCAGTACATATAAGGTGTCGTTATACATTATTTCAAGTAGGATTAAGACGCATACAATATTTCAAGCCTAAGTGTTGTTTTGTTTTGTGCATACATGTATTTATTGTCGTCGATTTTTTTTATTTACTTGGGGGCTTTTTTGTAAATACAAAAATTAATTAAACCGTAACAATTTTTAATTTCATTTTTATATCTTTTTCGATATTTCTGATTATATGTGTTCAATCTCGTTTCGTTTTATTTGATTTTTTTTTGTGTACATCATCATCTTTAAGAAGTAGATGCTTTGAGTTAACTTAATTTGTCAAAAACCTAGGTCCCGTGTACACGACCTATGTTAGCTGCTTGCCAGTCATTCCCTCTTGTTGTTGTATACTTTTATTTGTGTGTGATTGGGTGGGAGTGGGGATGTTTTGTACAATGTGTACAATGACAATACTTCTAACAATCAAACACTATCGTCGTCTAATAATTTAATCATGCCAAAATAAAAACATTTCTATATCCATACCTACTGAAAATTCCTCTGAGAAAAGGAGCAATGGCTCTTGCCTCCAGCAAGCTTTATCTATTTTACTGAACAGTGAAAAAAGTTCCTCTAATGTCACCCTTTTACAATAAAGAAGGTATGGCATTTTCCTGTTTTAATTCCCGTACTTTATTATGGCGTGGCTATATCGCAGTCTGTCGTTGATTTGCGGCGCCAAGCGTAAAAGGTTTAACGCGAATCGATAGTTTAGCATGCACAGTGGAGTTCACCCTTTCGTGTTAGCATATCTCGCCTAATGACTAGATATACGTAGAATAGCCTGTTACTTCTCTTAATATTAAGAGATTGTTTTTAAAACGTGGTAGGCCATGCTTATTAAATGATTCACAAGAAACAAGTTAAATGCATGGCGAGTGTGTATTATGAAAGCGATCGTACAGTTAATTCTCTTTTAGAGTACATTAATGAAGTTGTTTAGTGATAGCAAGGTTCGGTTTATTGTTTAGGTAAGTTTGTTTGGTTTTCTTAGTTTGTAGATACTATTTAGATACTAGACATCTGTTGAATCGACAATTATATATTGATTTTATTTGACAATATCCAGATGATGGTTAACTTTAACCCATTTGTATTAAATGCATCTCATATTCCGTGTCTTTGATTGGAGACTATTCTGAATCAGACGTTATCCACCGACAAGTCGTTATGCGTGTCTTGATGTCATTCATTAAATCATATCATAAATATATCTTTATAAAACATATATATCGTTAGTATTTCCACTATCGACAATCAGATCTATTAGCGACTGTTGTATGAGATGTGATCAAAACCATGCGCATTGTGTTACGTCACTAAAGGTGTTTAACTAATTTCATTATTCAGGTTTGTTTCATGGGTTTATTTTTGCTATTTGTTCAATTGATTTTGTATACTATCTACACATTGTGCTTATTAAATATACATATAAACATGTATAAACACTGTTAATCTGTGTTACATTTTAACAGTGCATGACATCCGCGAACTTTAAAAAAGCAGAGGTTAGCGCTGAGAATAATATGGAGCCCCTCACAAGATAATTTTTATCTATAATAATACTATAAACGCTGATAAATTATACTCATTATTATTATTTTATATAAATATATACATGTATATATATATAATATTTTCTGCCATTTATTGTGTGACCCTTTTGTGAACCCTAGTTTAGCTGCACCATGAGGAAGTGGTAAATCCGACACTGGAAAATAACTACACGTATGTCAGTTGAATTTGAATGATTACATATATACACGTGTACGGTAAAGATCTGGACATCATAATCCCTGAAATGGGCTGATTTTGAATCTTTCGTATGTAAATTAAAACAGTCACTACTGACGAACCACCCCATAGATGCAAACTGATTTTTAAACTTTATCAAACGTGCACCTTCTTTGATACAATATTATTATGATTTATATACCTGGTAACTAATGTGCTGTTCTATAAAAACCGATGTTCTAGCTGCAATGTTAATATATTGAGACGTGTCGATATTGTTATCTTTAAAAGTATTTATTGACTCTCAACGATACTAAATCTTGTGTATTTGGAAAAATAGCAAGTTATGTTGTACTTTTGCATTCACGCTTGTCTCGGTATCTGGAGTATTGGAATTAGAAGTGTTCTTTTATGTGAACGCCTATGGGTACACGGGTTTACCTAGGGCTTTTTTCTCCCGTCCGAACAACTATACGCCCTATTTATTCTAAGCCCTCCGCCCTCTACCAATGTCTACAATTAAAATGTCTTGTTGAATCGCATACCTTCGTATCCCTAATACTACAATTTTAACATGGCATCTTCATTGGAAATTTACTTTAAAAAGTAATTTATTTTTGTGCCAAATTTCTCTGATATGTGGCTAGCAATACTGAATTTGAACTGAACTCATATTCTCCAAATAAAATTAAACATCGGACTCTTTCTAGTTCCTGTTGTTTGTTTCGCTTTTTATGATTTGGTTATTGTCTTATATGACCATAAAGAAATAGTTTGTATCTGGTCAATGTATATGTGAATAAAACATAATGGCGATATTTCGTTGACGCAAGTTTATTTGAGATACTCGATCGTCATGCATGATAAATTGTTTTCTAGTCTACTTGTTTACTAGCCACAAAACAGTATTGTCATGTCTTTCGTTATTTGTCTTGATTCTATTATCTGAGCAATCATACCGTATAACATCAGACTGCATCACAAATATTCAGAGTGGCATTAAAACTGATTAATTTGTTATTCAAAGACTTTTTATTGTATAATGTTCCCTTTTTGTGTAATTAATAAATTAATTATATGCATTAGATTTTATAGCTAAAAAAGCTTGCTGCTGTTATTGTGCAAACTCTTCTGATAAATTAATAATATCTCTATTTTATTTTCGTACAAATAGAATATAAATGTACAAAATCAATGAAGAATTCATGGGAGACCAAGCAAATATCGTCTCTGATGTCGTAAACTAGTAATACAAAGGATAACAAGTGATTCCTTTTGTATGGGCGGATAAATTTCCATGTGGGTCGGGTGGGTGGGAGTTAGCTTCCAGTCTGAATTATCAGCCTCTGTAAATAAAAAAATAAATAAATTGATATCTGTTAAAAAAACCCCAAACAAATCTGTATTAGAAATACAAAGATAAATATATTTATTACAATGGCAGATTACTGGTGTCTTTATTAAAATCCAAATCTAAATTATTTTTCAATTTCATTTAGTTACAAAACGTGTCTTGCACGAAGTATGGTCTATAAAATGTGGAGGGCAGGTATACAACTCCTCAGAAGACAGGACGCGGCGATGTGCTAAATCTAAATTATCTTAGAAGATAGCGTTCAGTAGTGACGCATGACATGCGCTAAACAAATCAGACTTATTCTTTTTTGGACGGAAAGTACTCATGGCTGATGTAGGCCACTATAGTGGCAAAGGTAATTCCACATTTTATAAGGTCATAGTTTGAAATGCACTTTTCATAATTCCCAACCCTCGTTATTTCTTTACAAGGGCCAAATGTCAGAGAGCAGTGGCGGGCACATAACTTTAGCTATCTTTATCATCAGTATAAATAAATTATTACCCAGGGTACCTATGTCAAGTGAAAAAAAAGAATACAATGTTGTTATAGTATATTTAGATAGTAACAACGCCCCATATATAGCAGTTACTAGCTAATGGCTAATTGAGCTTCATGTTCACAACCATCTATGTCACGGCTTTGGAAATATGTAAAAGGACAATCTGATTAAAACATAGATAATATTTCGTTTCGTTTTTTATAGTTCAAAATTTCGTTTTACTTGTCTTTACTACACTAAGATCTGGAAGAGTTGTTATATCACCCGCGTTCTGGATGATGCGAGAGATTAGCCAATGAATCGTTCTTCGAGTCCCTTGCTACAAATGACGCTGAACCGCATTCTAGTACACGATTCGTGTACTTATGGTAAAATGTTTATTTTGTCGTGTACTTATGGTAAAAATGTTTATTTTGTCTTAAATATAAGATATCAGAAGCCCACCCTTTCTCGGTAAGAGGACAACACATCAATGTTGATTTAAATAGACAAATAATTCGTGTTTTCAATGTCGAAGACTGTTGATGATACGGAATTAAAGACTTAGCTAATTTAAACCATGGGCCGTATATACGATCCATGTTTAAACAAATTGTATCATGCTGAATGGCGTGACAATAATTTAGATTTTGGCGTATATAAAAACAAAGAAAATCATCTTGATATTCTTGCTTTATTTGATATCAATGTTATGTTTCGCTTTATTAATAATTCAAAATACACCCGTATCGCCTTATGCATGAGTAAAAAATATATATTAAAGTGGATATTATGGTCGATACCTATGAAAAGGGACTATTGTCTTACCAAACAAAAGGATATAACTTAATACAATGACAAGTGGTCATCCTCTGTGATGTTTAGTATGAAATCAAATTAATTCCACTAATAATCATTTAACCATTACGCCTGTTTGGTTTCAATTTTTATTTTTTTTTTAGAAAACGTTGACCGATTATTAGTATATTCGTATTCTAAAATCTGAGGAGGGCCGTGTACTAAGGAATTCTTATTCCCTAGTGGACACGATTATCTGTTTTTTACCGCGGTTTCCTGGCGAACATTTTGCCAAAGCAGTTCCAGATTGAATGCTCCAGATTGTTGATAAACGTAGATACAGTACTCTTTTCTTGAGACATTTTCTCACAATTTCAACAAAAGGTTAATATTGTGGTAAAATGGTCCCTGTTTTGGGCATTTTAGCAAATATGGTATGTTGATATACGTATAATACCATACTGACCCCATACTGAAGATTCTGTTCCTTTTAAGTAAAGATCAATTTGACTTTCCAGCGTTGTTACCCATGATTGTTGATTATTACCCTGAAAGAAACATGAAAAGAATCATGAATTGAATCGTGAATTAATTGGTGGTAGGTTATATTTTCCGGTTTCAGGTTCGAATTTACGTATAATTTCTTCTACCTGACTATTTTGGATCTTAATGTTTGTCAAGCCCAAAGAAACCCTTAAGATATCGTTTGATTTACATGTGATGTAATATGGATCTATTGTCACACAATCATATATCAAGCTTAAATAACTAGCAATAAAAGCCTCAACACAAAACTCTATCATGTTAACTGTAAAACCAAAATATCTACTTGAAACTTAAAAATGCTGTAGCTCGCTACCCGAATACAAAAATAAAAGTATTGTAATATTCAGTAAATGCATGTCAAGGTCGAAGACATGGTGTCAGAAATCAGGTGAGTATTTTGAATACAAAAGTGTTCTATGACAGTAAATATACAATTGACCCCTCCCCACCCCCACCACCTCTCTCGAAATATTCCTTCAACGCGTGGGAAAATTCAATAATGTATGTAGAAGAAAAAAATTAAAAAACATAGATTATATTTCTCACAAATTGATAAACACGTGTTAACCACCTCGTGTTTATTTCACTGACAATGCCAAAGTGAAAATCAATTACTATTGTGTTTTCATCACAGAATTGCCTGATCCTCAACTGGTTAATTAATATTTTACACTTTCACGGTACAACAATAATCAATTATTTGAATACAAACATTTAGATCCACGATGACAATAACATTTTACGGTTAAAAGTATATTTTAAAATATGTTGAATAATACGGCTTTTAAACTAATTTAAATTATTTCGAGGCAGATATTACGATTTATCAACGTGTTCCTTTGCTGTCCGACAATCTAACATGTTTTAACCATTCATCGCATGATTTACTGGTCTGTAATGCAATGATTTGCAGCCACTAGACGACCTAATTATTAGACTAACGTTCAGTAAAATCGAGTTAAATGTGTGGTGTTTATACAACGTGGAGCGGAATAGGGTTTACGTCTCGTTAACAATATACATCTGTCATTTCCATGGTCACACGTACAGTACTA